GCCTCTCCGGCGGCGAGCGAGGCCGTCCTCGTGCCCACCCTGCTGGCTGCCATCTGGCCGCGCTGCCGTCTCCATAAAGCATAGCTGAGAGGGACAGACCGGCTGAAACCAGTTCAATTCCCCTGATTGAATTGGGCGACGTTGGATTTATGGACCTCAACTTTCCGATGACAAAACTCATCTGTGCGGCCAAATAAAGACGCGGACGCTCAGGGCCCGTCGGAGGCCATCTGGGCCGCTCACCGCCTCCTGCCCCGCCGCCCGGGATGGTGTCATCGTGGGGCTGCACGTAAAGTGCCCTTTTGGGCCTTTCTTACGCTCCATTAGAAAATCGTGTATAAATTCAATCTCCGCTAAAAGGTGGAGATAGTCCACAGCCCAGGGCCAGGCCCCGCCCCGCGCAACGGCGTGCTCATGTGCCATCAGCCCCCACGGCGGGGAGGCACGGCTCTCTCCACTAATCAATTCTATTCGAGTAATTGATCGTATATTATTATTGATGAAAGCCCATCTTATGTGAGTTAGAAGGGAGTCGGCCTCAAAAGATTAGATTTGTACACGAAAATGGACGGGAAGCAGGACTGTCTAACTCCTCTGAGTGGTTTACGGTGTGAGGCCTGGTGGGCCGCGGGGCCGGGCCTGCTGCTCCCTCCCCACACGCTGGCCCCTGGGGAGGGGAGCGGGCATTTAGCAGAGAGGAGAGGGGCGGTGCGAGGAGGGATGAGCCGGTGGATGTGCCGAGCGAGCGTCGCCCAGCAGCTCCGGGCTCGCCCTAGGCCCCCTCCCAAACCGTCCATCTCTCAGCCTGGGATGTCCCATCCGTGCTGTCCCCCGATGTCCCTCACGCCATCTCTGGGTGCTCCTCTGCCTTTTAAGAACTAAGATAAAATTTACATGACATAAATCTCACCACTTGAACCCTTCGAAGTGCGAGGTTCATGGGGTCAGCATTGCACAGAGCTGGGCGGCTGTCACCACTGGGATTCCAGGCCCTTTCTTCCCATGAGCAGCGCCCACCTGCCCGCCCCCGACCCAGCCTGGCTGTTCTAGGCACGTGATCTGTTCACCCATCCACGGCTCCTCCGTTCCCGCTTGTAATTTACGTATTTTATACGTTTAATTCACATCTTCCCGGGAAGCCACCTCTCTGCTTCTGGGCCCCCCGTTTTCCCGCCACGGCGTCACGAGACGTTTCCTTAAGCCTCGTCTCCGTTTCAGCCGCGGGCCCTGGGCTCTCTCGTTCTCCGTCGAGTTTATGAGAGATGGGCCTACTTTGCTGGTCTTTTTGCGGAACCAGCTCCGGGCCTTTTCAATCCTGTTGCCGTGTGGGCCTGTTTGCTCGCTATTATCTCCCTCCTCTACCACCTTCTTACCTTTTAGAAATGTTTTCTTAGGTGACACGTTAATTCCTTCATCTGTAGTCCTGGCTCTTCGGCGCCTACATTTCCCCGGGTCCCTGCTTCCCGGTGTCCCACTGGGGGGCTCCCCTGCCACTGCTCTTAGCGAGCTTCTAATTTCAGCGTTTGCTTCCGTCTACGCCACAGGGGTGGCACGGGGTCTAACTGTCTCCCAAACTCCCTTCTCCTCTTCTTTAACTGTAAAGGAGACCTTCCTTTTAGCAGCACATTCCTACCCTCGATAAAACTACAACTCGCAGCATTCCTTGAGTAGGCATGACCATGTGACTGGGTTCTGACTAATGGGATGTGAGCAAAAGTGATGGGGTGCAACCTTGGGGACCATGTGGGTGAGGGCACCCCTGGACGGGGCAGCAGGACCGTGGAGCCTGGGCTCTGCTGCCTGAGCACCGCCCAGCCCAGGCCTCTGGGTTAGAACGGACGCCACCGTATTACCCACAGTTCCGTTGGTTCTCTCCAGGCAGCTAAATCTGCTCTCTAAGACAAAGCAAGGGATTTTGCGGGGTGGGTTAAAATTTTATTTATTATTTCTAATTTTTCAAGAATATGGTTAGAGAAAATTTCAACCTTTTATATTTTTCTTAAGATTTTGTGTTTTTGTTTGTTTGTTTAACTAAGTACACTATCAATTTTGAGAAATGCTGAAGGGGTCTTGGAAAGAATTCATAACGCCTGGCTGGCATGGCTCAGTGGTTGAGCATCGACCTATGAACCAGGAGGCGATGGTTGGATTCCTGTTCAGGGCACATGCCCGGGTTGTGGGCTCAGTCCCCAGTGCGGGTGTGCAGGAGGCAGTCGATCAACTATTCTTTCATTGTTGGTGTTTATATCTCTCTCCCTCACCCTTCCTCTCTAAAATCAAT